AGCTCCTCTCTCGCAGAAACTGAGAGGCAATTAAAAGAGGAATTTTTTACCCTGACGCTGCAATAGGAAATAAAATTCAAATTAAACATTCGATATTCTAAAAATTTTTTCATATAGTACAATAAATACGTAACACGCATGACTAATTAACAAAGATAAAATCAAGTACGTTATAAGCGGAAAATCAGCTCATTCAAATCGTGCGAAAGATATCCATTAACAAACACCATAAAACAAACAAACAAATGAACGGTGCTTATTTTTTTAGGAACGGTGTTTACCTTTCCAAAAATTTTATCAAAATCAGGGGCTTTATTAAAGTTAAAAGAAATTGACTCAATTTTCTTTAACGAATATAACATCTATCAATCATCTAATAAGATTTCTTTATTCCTTATTGTGGAATTTTGTGGTAAATATTCTTTTAATTATTTATTCACACTAACGTTCTCGTTATATCTTTTGTCGGCAATGTTCAAATTAAATGAGAAAAACGAATTAACGAATTAATTTTAACGAATATAACATCTATCAATCATCTAATAAGATTTCTTTATTCCTTATTGTGGAATTTTATGGTAAATATTCTTTTAATTATTTATTCACACTAACGTTCTCGTTATATCTTTTGTCGGCAATGTTCAAATTAAATGAGAAAAATTAAATGTATATTGACGCGTAGTCAGTTACCATATCGCACGTGATCATTCACTAATCTTCTTTAATTAATATCTCGACTAATTTTTTATCCTGACGCTGCAATAGAAAATATTAAATTCAGCATTCAATAATATCACAAAACGATATAAGACTTTTACCTTCATCTCAATCCGTTCTACGTTCCCACAAAAATTGCGGAAGGAAGTCTGGAACGCCCTGTATATTTAAGTATCTCAATGCTTCCCGGAAGTGAGCAAATTAAAATACGCTGGATAAAATTTACTTATATTTGACCTATATTTTACCTATTTAAAATTTACGTAACTTATTGATGTTTAGGGTTCTAAGGTTTAAATGTCCTTAGAGTGCGAATACCAACTATCAGTAACATAATATCAATGTTATAATTTCCTACTCAACAATATAAATATAATATGACACGTGTGTTATATAACAGTGACATTGTTGTTATTAAATGCTGCATTCTGTACATATCATTGCTTACATAAGAAACAATGATTGCCAATTTGAGAATATTATTTTTAAATGGGTACCTTTTCCCCTGTGGCTTTCCATTCTGACAATTTGGAACTTCGACTTCATTCAATAAAAAGTGTAGAAGCCAATTTGCAATCGACGATACATACACGTATCAGTATCCACGGCAAATCGCTGATGAATCGCGTTCATTGAAATATGGGTGCTTCATTCTTATATATATATATATATATTTTTTTTTAATACGTTGTTAGATGCGCTTCTTTGTGCCTATGTTGTGCACAATGCTTTCTGAATGCGTTAAATAAGCGAGAAATAAGTCGCCGCACGATCGCGTATTCATGTAACATTTGAACATGACAATATAACGTTTGAAAATAAACGTCATCTTGACAACAACCGCGCAAATTGCAGCAACGTTTAAATCGCCAGACCAGTAGTGCAGCTGCAAATCACGTTACTACAATTTTATTGAGTGTTTCATAACTCGTGCGTGCTCGCGCGCACTACTTGCCGCTTGATTGAGCTTTCAAAGCACCCTCTGCACAGTCCCGATGTCTCTTTGATTTCTCTTTCATTAACGTATATTTCAATATTTTTTTTCTACTTTTTATTTTCCATTGGCTCTGAGAGAGAGAGAGAGAGAGAGAGAGAGAGAGAGAGAGAGAGAGAGAGAGGATTCGAAGAGGATAAAATCCAGCGAGGGCGTGTTTTATACGTATCAACAATTTAATGAAAGCTGTCGTAGAAATTGTAAAAATGTGCGTCATCCCTTTTATTTAAATAAATCACGATAGTACAAGCGAGCTCATCGGAACTTAAACTCTCTAGAACCCTAAACACGGGTAAAATTTACTCAGACCAACTTTTCAAACATTATCATTCTCAAAAACATATGTTTTGTTTCTCATTATAACTTCTATTAAATTTATTGAATCGCAAAGACATTAATAGATTCATGTTCCTAGATGTTTTCTACATTGATTAAAAAGAAATGATCAAATATCGATCATCTTTCCGGAAGTGAGCAAATTAAAGTACGCTGGATAAAATTTATCTATATTTGACCTATATTTTACCTATTTAAAATTTACGTAACTTATTGATGTTTAGAGTTCTAAGGTTTAAATGTCCCTAGAGTGTGAACACCAACTATCAGTAACATAATATCAATGTTATAATTTCCTACTCAATATAAATATAATAAACAATATAAATATAATATGACACGTGTGTTATATAACAGTGACATTGTTGTAATTAAATGTTGCATTCTGTACATATAATTGCTTACATAAGAAAAAATGATTGTCAATTTGAGAATATTATTTTTAAATGGGTACCTTTTTCCCTGTCCGACTTTCCATTCTGACAATTTGAAACTTCAACTTTATTCGATAAAAAGTGTGCAATAATAATAATAATAATATGACACATGTGTTATATAACAGTGACATTGTTGAGTGGGAAATTATAATATTAATGTAATGTTACTGTTAGTTGGTGTTCGCTGGGTTCCCACGACTATTACAGATAATTGAACTGTTCATAATGGTAGAGGAAAAGTTCAAATATAGGCCATGATTCAAAGACGAGCTATCAGTGTTTTGACTCTGTATGATGCAACAATCTATTGAGAAGGGTAATTTCCTTTAAAGGCGTGTAACAAAGCTTCATTGCACGACTGTTTTCGAGCCGACTTTAAAAAATTATACAAAATTTTCCATATTTAAACTTCCGAAAAGTTATATAGATATGTATATTTCATTTTTTATTTGGTAATATACATGTCATTGATGTATTTGCTTATGAGCTATAAATAGTATACGGATAGGAACTAAAGACCATAATTACTTTCATTGAAAGTCCGTTTAATAACAAAATATTCTTTAATATCATAAAAGGAACATTGTAGGTATAATGTTCAATGTGTTTTTGGGAACACACAATGATTTTGCAGAAACACAAGATGACGAAATGATTATGTATGTAATTTTTTCCATGAATATTAAGGAGAAATAAAATAAAATTCCTTTACCTTAAATGCTACATCTTAGTAAGAAATTTTGTGTTTTTAACACATTTCATATATCCAAAATAATCCATTCAAATTTTTGTGTTAATTTAACACAAGGTGAATATGTTAAAAAATAATACAAATACGTTAAAAACGTTAAAATATGTTAAAAAATAATACAAATATTATATCAGAAATTAACACAAGAAAATTAACACTTCCACTATTTTGAAACAAATTTTATGTAAAATTGATATATTTATAATGTCAAATGTAACATAATAAAAATGTTATTTTCACAGAGAAATATTTTATTCATCTCCTCTGCTCTGATTATAGATACACTTTGTATATTATAATCGTAAGATAGCGAAATTAAATTTTTTAGTAAAATTAACATCTATAATGTTAACCTATACTAAAGTATAAAATGTATGTATATAATTTCAATATTTAATATAATTTTAATATTTACATATATCAATATTGAATATATCAATTAAACTCAAAACATTCGAATATCACAACCATAATATATTAAACTAACACACACACACAGATATATTAAAAATTTAACAGAAAAATATTAACACAAGGACCAATTTTGTCACAAACACAAAATGTTTTTTACTATGTATGTAACTTTGAAATTACAAAAGTAGTGCATATTTGAATCCCTCTTGCAAACGATACAAACCTCTCTTTCTTCAGAAAAATGTGAAAAACTACAGTCTGTCAAGTAAGAGCATATGCGGCATAACTAGCAGTCAGTAAAAGGTATCGTTCTAATTCTTTCGTGAGTGGATAGAGGGAACTTTTGTTCTTCATGCATTGTCAAGAAAGAATCAGTTGACATTGAAGTTTTGTCAGATAAACATCTAAAACGCCATGAGTGCCGCGTACGCGTCGAGGCTGTGTTCCTCCGTTCCCACCCGAAAGATCCGAAAATGTCTCATGCAGCGGCTGTTAAATACATGGGGAAGTCGAAATCATTCGTGAGTAAGTGGGTTTAGCGATACAAAGAGACGAAAACTGTCGATGACTTGCCTGAACGTGGCTCGATAGGCAAAGTGTCCCCTAAAGCCAATAAAATGATAGTGAACTTGTTTTCGCGGAATCCTGGCTTAACACTGCGTCAAAGAGCAGCAAAATTGAAGCAGAAAGGTTTAGATATAATACACGAAACTATCCGAACCTATCTCCGTGCTCATGATATCAAATGGCGCAGTACAGTGAAAAAACCGTTGTTAGGTGAAAAGCACGTGACGAAGCGACTCGCTTGGGCGAAGGACAATATTGACCGAGATTGGAGCAATATAATTTTTACGGACAAAGCTTCTGTTTGAGAATATGTTATCGCTCCACGAGCCTGGTCAACTTCCACCAAGGTTGGTACAGCGGACCGTTAAACACCCAGTAAAGGTGCATCTTTGGGGCTGCTTTTCAAAACTGGGTTTCGGAGCTTTGCATCTGTTTACCTACTATAATCTGAATGCTCCGAAAATGCTCGAAATATACAAAAATCTTTATTATCGACTGCCGAACGTTGGTTCATAAAAAACAACAAGAACTGCATCCTGCAGGAGGACAATGATCCCAAACACCGCAACAAGCTCTGCAGCGAGTGAAAGAAGCAATCTGGCATCTTTACACTTGATTGGCCGTCGCAATACGACGCAAACCCAATCGATAATGTATGGGCATATATCAAGCACAAGCTTCATGAAAGAAAAGTATTCACTTTGAAGCAGTTAACTCAAGAAATTCGTCGCATTTGAAGGTTCTTACGCATGAATACGCCGTCAACTTGGTCGAAAGCATGCCTTAAAGATGCCAGGCAATTATCGACGTTGATGGTGACTGGACGCATTATTAATATAATTGCATCTTTGTTCGATCGAGTATAAGGTATCCATGTATTTGAAAATTGTATTAAATAATTTTTTCTACAAATTATTGGAAGTACAAATTAGTTCGGTCCGTTTTTTTGTGGTCAAAGATGCATTTATTTCAGAACAAAATGAATGAACAGATTAATCAAAGTATTGTCCATCGCTGGCTACTACTTTTTCCCACCTCTCAGGCAATTTTCGAATTCCATCTCGAAAAAATGTCTCGTCTTTTGAGGCGATCCAAGTTAGGAACCAATTTTCGATTTCTGCGAAAGAAGTGAACCGGTGACCTGCCAAATCGTGCTGCATCCGTCGGAACAACCAGTAATCAGAAGGAGCAATGTCCGGCAAATACGGCGGGTACGGTAAAATATCCCACTTGAGCGTTTCCAAATAATTTTTTACGACTTTTGCGACATGAGGCCGAGCGTTATCATGCAGAAGAATAACTTTGTCATGTTTTTGCTCGTATTCCGGCCGTTTTTCTCATAATGCATGGCTCAAACAAATCAATTGTAGCCTATATCGATGGCCCGTAATGGAATCGCCAGGTTGTAGCAGCTCATAGTATACAACACCCTTTTGGTCCCACCTTTTTGGTCACAGCATGACCTTCGAATCATGAATATTCGGCTTTGGTGTTGATGTTGAGGTCGATGGCAACGATTGACCGAGCATAGCGTAGTATTTTTTCTTCTTGAGGTTATCGTAGAATATCCATTTCTCATCCCCAGTCACAATCCGATGTAAAAAACCCTTTCTTTGTTGCCTTTGAATCAGCTGCTCGCAAGTGAAAAATCGCCTTTCAACGTCTCTCAGTTTCAGTTCATAAGGCACCCAATTGCCTTGCTTGTGAATCATTCCCATGGATTTCAATCGTACGGAAACTGCTTGTTGCGTAACTCCCAATAATTCTGCAAGCTCCTCTTGCGTTTGACTCGGATCTTCATCGAGTAATGCCTCCAATTCTTTGTCTTCGAATTTTTTTTGGCTGTCCAGAGCGAGGCTTGTCTTCAACGCTGAAATCACCATTCTTGAAACGTCGAAACCATTTCCTACATGATTTATCAGTTGGGGCATTGTCACCATAAACTTCTACAAGCATTCAATGCGCTTCAGCTGCACTTTTCTTCCAATTAAAGCAGAAAACTAAAACCTCCCGCAAATGCTGCTTAGTTAACACAAAATTTGACATATTCAACACAGTAAAAAATAGGGGTTTTGTATGAAACTCAAAGCGATATAAACTGAATATTATTGACAGATGTCTAACCTCTCTGAAACCACCGAAATCAGCTGTCACTATGAAACATTCATAACCAGAGCTATCTTTTGAAAACGGACCGAACTAATTTGTACTCCCAATAACCCGCACACGCTCTTACTTGACAGACTGTAAAAATCCAATTATTCCAAAAACGTCCCATTTACAAAAATAAAAGTAGATATCCCATTGCTTGATAACATATATATTCGTCCATAGTAAATTTAAACATTTTAAGATATAAAGAAAAAGGTGATATTTTTCCTCCATATTTGAACTTTTTCCTCCAATTTATACGCTGGACCGGACGCGAGACAAAGCTGACTTTTTCGTGCAGGAGATTACGTTTTATACGCGCGATCCTTCGTCCTTATTGATATATCTACGTCGAGTTCGGGATTGCCGGCGGGGCAAGGAAACCGGCGCTTTGTCTCCAGCGTGCATTTTAAACGCCGCGATAATTAATGTCTTTATGAAAGTGACGTTAACCGTCGGGAATAAATACGGCGACAAACGTGGGTCCCCTCATGCGATTTTCACGCCGCCGGCGTAACGAGCGCTTTCGACGTGAATGCGAGAGTTCGACGCGCTTTTTTTTTATCCATCCGATGAGCGAGAGCATCGATGAACGATCAAAAGATTGCCGGTCGGTTCGCAGGCAGGTTCGCGGTAGGACAGAACATCGCTCGCACATGGACGACCAGGCCCCCGGGACCTTACGACGGCGAGCCGAGTTGGCGACGACAAATTTCTAGTTGGTTCAACGAAGTGCAGTACTACCACACGGGCTACAGCAAAGCCACCGGACATTATACACAGGTGCGTAATATAAAGAGAAACCGACAAAATCGCGGAAAAAAAGAATGGCGGCTTCTCTAGCAGCACATATTAGTTGACCAACGTTGCAGAGAAAAAAGAGAGATTCTACATTGGCCGCTATAGATTCAATATCGGTTCAATGCTTTATGCTGCTCTGGATTGAAAAGCGCTGCCTTGCTCGAAGTCTTGCTTCTCTACCTCGAATAAATAATAAAGAACCTAATAATTAGATAAAACACTTAAAAAAAAAATAAACCGTCTTCAAAAATCTCAAAAGTCTCACAAAATATAAAGCAATTTTGAATCAATATTTTTGTTAGAAATAGAATATTTGAAACTTCGAAACTTCTTGAAACTCTGAAAGGTTTCAAGTTTCGAGGACTCGAAACTTCGTGCTATTTTCATGATTTGAAACTCTCGAAATCTGAGGCAAAGATAGCAGACTAGACTCGGAAAGAATTCAGATGTTAGTATTTTTAAAAATTTAGATAAAATTTAGATAGATAAAAACTCTAAAGAATTTAAAATGTTATCTAGTTTTAATTTTTTCATATTAAAAAAAATTATTTTTATCCAGTTTCCATATAATATTATGTTGAATATTCTATTGAACTATTCTAAAATTTGATCCTTTGAAAAAAAATTTGGTTGAATTTTTAGTTCCTGACTAAAGGCACTTTTTTTGATAATTAAAATGTTGATAAAATTGTTTTCTATTAATAAAAATAATTATCTGTTTTAAATGTTGAAGATTGGTCTTTTCAATGAAAAATTACACAGAAGCCTGTCTCATGCGCAGTTACCCTTTTTTTAATTAACATTGCAGGTTTGGGTAGTTTCAAATTTCAAAAATTCCAATAGTTTCGAGGGTGCTTACAAAATTTTGGATTCGAGTTTCAAGAACTTAAAAATCAGGTTTCAACTTATCTTTAATTTTTATGGTCTCTACGATTTTATTTCGCTATTCAAATAATATTGCACAGAGAAAAATATTATTTTATTGTTAAGAGTCGCGATCGTACGGTTTAGGCTTTTTTCTTTTTTTTCCTTTTTACTTTTTTTAAGGAGGTTTAAGCGTTCGACTAAATAAAAAATAAATTTGTTATATGTACATGATATAAAATTTAATTAAATTAACAATGCGTAAAAATATCAATAATCTTAATCAAAAATATAATAAAAGAATTTCAATAATCTTTACGTTAGTTTTAAATTCATTATTTTTTATTTCTATATTTTATATTTTTAATTTCTTTTAAACTAAAATTAGAATTTTAATGGAAAACTACTATGATATTAAGGACTAACATATCTACATTATACACAAATGTCGCAATTGATCGTCTTGTTTGGAAAATACGACGATGGAAAGTTTATATAATTTATAATAATATTCGAAATATACATATTTAAATATTTACATACTTATTTTTATTATCTGTGCATCTCTAGATTCATTAATGCACAAATGAATCATTAATAAGAAAGATAAAAAGATTATATAATAAGAAAGAATTAAAGAAAAAAATTATATTTTTATATTTATAATAATTTATCTTTTTTGCGCTGACTTCTAATATTAAAAAATATTAAAAGAATTAGAATATTAAAATAATTATATAACTACATACTAAGGAAACAAATATTTAATATTTGTAGCTATATAGTCACGCAGGGAAATAATTATTATAAATTATAGTTACAAGAGAACTATTTTTTATTTAATTTTATTATAATATTAATTATAATAACCTTATGCATATTATTACTATTATTCTAATGTTAAAACAATAAAAAAATATAGTTAGAGTAAACAATAATTATAATTTTATCTAGATCAACTATTGTTTCTCTCACTGTACATATTAATTCAAGATTTTATATTTCTATGGTTTTTGAGGTTTTTGAAAACACTTTATCTTTTTTGAACAACAGAACTTTTTTTCCGATTAATATCAAGTAGTGACTTTACTTTAACAGCATTTTAATTTGAAATTTAATTGCATACAGAAATGTTATATTGAAAATTGAAAAATTTTAAATAATGACCTTTCGACATCCTCGCTAAAGCAAAATGATCTCCAAATTGTTCGAAGAATCTCTCGGTAAAATAAAATTTATGAGTTTAGAGACACTTTATACATAACGGATATAATAATTTTCCTTGTGTTTATTAATGTTTTTATTGGCATTAAGAATTTATGTAGAATTTGGCAGTTTAAAAATGATGAAATAAAGGAGTCAGGTAAGGACAAAGATAGTGTCAAGAAGCATGTCGCTATAGTATAGAACTTTAAGAGGCTGGACAATATTTGTACAATTCGGTACGAGGCTAAACGGGAGTGAAAAGAAGACGTTAGTATGTTCAGGATGGGATTTCCTGCCTCCAAGGAACGCCTTTGAAAGCAGAAGTCAGTACTTGCGAGACTTAAAGTGGATCCTAAATTTCGGCTCGGGTTGACACTTACTCGTCACTTATGTACTACACCTAATCCGTTTCGCGCTTCACAAACAACACAACACCCGCGACTTGCGACCTTAATTTCAGCAACGGAATCCTCAGACCGATCTTTTCCACTTTACCCAATTTCCAATATGTTAGACTGAGAGAAAAAATATCTAGGAAAAAAGAAATATTTATTCGGTGAGTACTAATAACTTATTTACATAAGTATAGATTCTTTTATTTAAATGGAATAAATAATTGTTTTCATATAAAGTTAAAAGATACTAAAAAAATGTATATATTCTTATATTTCAAGAATATTTATTCTCAGTGGAAAAGTATGTAGGAAAGACTATTTGGCCACGTTACATTTGGTAAGTTGGCAAAGTCGGTTATTTCTATTGTTCTTTAACATATTTTAGAATTAAGCAAGCAGGGGAGCCATCTTTGACTTGTTTAAAAATCTTGCTTGTTTAATTTTGTAACTTGTCAAGAAATGCTAGAAATAACCGACTTTGTGTTAACTTACCCCGATATTCAATTAACTCAGAGTCTTCTCTATAGTGGCACCAGAGTTGCAAAAATATCAATTAAATTTTCCTCAATTTAATAATTAATTTGAGTAAATAATTTCTAATTTAATTAATTGACGATTAATATAAGCCTATTCAATTAAAAATATTTTAATTAACCATTGACTTCAAGAAATCTAATTAAAAATCATTCAATTAATGATTAATTTGAAAGAATTCAATTAAAAACTGTTGCATTAACGATTAAAACGAGCGAAAATAATTAAAGATTATTCGATTAACGAACATAGATTATTGAACATAATTAAGGGTTATTTAATTGACAATTGATATAAGCAATATATATATATATATAAAAGCATAAATTCAATTCGATTGGTTATTATGAGCAATGTAAATAACTACAGTTATAATTTCGATTACTACTCTTTTCAGTTAAATTTGCTTATATCAATTGTCAATTAAATAACCCTTAATTACATTGACTATGTTCAATCGTTAATCGAATCTTTAATTACTTCGCTCGTTTTAATCGTTAATTCAACTGTTTTTAATTGAATTCCTTCAAATCAATCGTTAACTGAATGATTTCTAATTAGATTTCTTGAAGTCAGTGGTTAATTAAAATATTTTTAAATGAATAGACTTATATTAATCATCAATTAAATTCGATTATTAATTGAAAAAGTAATTAATTACTCGCAATTGTGAGTGGCACAAGTAAAAATGTGTCACTGGTGCCCACCGAATAATATTAATAAATGTTTTAACAAATGTTAAATAAGAAAACTTTAATATAAATATAAAATATTAAATTATATTATTTGTCAGACACTTTTTCTTTCAGTGTACGTATCTTCGGCTCGGCTAAGCTTCTGCGAATATCAACCAGATCGTGGAATATTATTTCATCGCAGCATGTAATGTCTCAATTATATCACAGATTCAACACGAATAAATATTCGTCGATTGAGGATAAAAAAGGAGTGAGATGTGTTATGAAAAAATTCATATTAATCTTCCGCAATAGCGGTCGATGCCATTAGCTATACTTCTGGGCGCGTACATAAGCACGCTATAAACACCTTTATGTCCTCCATTAAGAATCGTTCTGTGTTACATTGAAAGATAAATCGATTATTTATTCGTGATCTCGATCAATGATCCGATTGACTATTCAACGATCGCTGATTCGTTGCATCGGATTACAATAAAATACGTGTTGAGGCCGTAAAATAGGATAAACTCCCGGCTTATCGCGTCGTTCATCTGGTATTTTCGGAAATACGGAAAGGTCATCGGCGTAACTGAATATCGCGCGGGAGAGAGAGTTAACTTTTTGTCGCGCACGCAATTTGGAGTCGCGACATGACAAATGCCGAGTACCACTTTCATTCGTAGGTCAATGCCGAGAATCAAGCCTGTAAAACTCGCGATTTATAGGCGTCATCGGTCTCCGAACTACAGCTGACGCTTGTTAACTCGTTGTTGCTGATGTTGTCGTCGTTGTTCTATGAATTTTCATGAGATCGAGCTACGCAAAAGAACGTCTTTTCGAGACTGGCCGTGCGGAAAATAATGTTCGCTTCACGAACAATTTGTCACTTCGTCGAAAATATGTAAGATAAAAGCAGAGGGTTGGAAAATAACCCTATTACCGTTACAGGATACTTCGCCAACCATTTGGTGACGACGTTATTTATCTATTTCCTTTCGTCTGTAACTGCAATGCAATTACATTTCTCGGGTAATGGTGACGAATGTAATCGTCACTTTCCATATGTAGAATAGATTGACATCCAATGTCGACACTGATCTATTCTGCGTATGGAAAGTGTAGCAACAAGAATCATAATAGAAGAGAAAAATATATTTGTACAGAGTGTCCCAAACTGAAATACAAATACTTAGTGATTATACAGAGAGAATTGAATTTTTAACAACAAAAATCCCGTGTACATAAGTCAAGAAATATTTCGTTAAAAATTATTGCCAAGGAAGTTAGTACCTTTAGATTTTTCTATGTTTGAGGGAGATTAGAAACGAAGGTTTACTCGGCATCAGTTGACATAAGGAAAGGATAATTGACGCAAGAAAAGAACTTTACAACGATTTAAAAGCCTGTGTAGAAATAAGAGAAGGTGAGATCCTAAGAAACATGGAAGTAGCATGGAAGTGCGTTCATTAGCAAGGAAGGCATTTTGAACAATTGCTGTAAAGATTCTATCTTTTTTCTTCTTCCTTAATTTTGTATGAGAATTATATTAACTTTAAGAGAGCTGTTCCTGTTTAATTTAAATAAAAAATGTCACATAAACTCTTGGATGTTTAAATGGATGTTTGTTATGTTTGTTTTTGACTTCCTCAGCTCATAGTACGCAATCAAATCGCAATGTTGGTATACCCGCTCAATTTAAAATGTCATCAAAATTAAAAATGCAAAGAAAGGACGTATGAGAGCTAGGTGCAAGAAGGAAGTGCACAAATTTACGCGTTTTACGATTTTCGTTAATAACATCTTTAATGTAATACGCAACTCTGTAATTTGAATAAATTTGTGCACTTCTTTCTTGCACCTAGCTCTCATAGGCCCTTTCTTTGCATTTTTAATTTTGATTGTACATCTTAGAGCCTTTTAATTTAATAATTCTTGTTGGGAATATAAATATATATATAATAATTTGGACTCAAGGATCGGTCTAAGTATGGAAGATTGATTCGCCGTGTACGATAATCGAAGAAATTTCGATACGTGCGTTTAACATGCTGGACATATTATCCTCCCATTATCATATTAATATTAAAAAAGTAATATTAGTATCTAATAGCACTAAAACATCCGTGTTTACTCCTTACATGCCTTCTTTCAAATCTTACTATTAGTTAATTTTTGTTAAAATGTTATGCTCTACAACTTTTGTTTTGAGATATTTTTTTATTGAATTTATTGAATTATTTTGAATAATTGAAGGCAATTGTCAGAAAACATGATTTTTTTTATTCGTTTAACGTTCCTTGACAATAAATAATTTTTTACGAAATATTTTTAGATTCATTTTTATAGGAATTTTTCTTTTTAAATTCAATTCCCCCTATACGATCACCAAGTATTAGTACTTTAACTTAGGATATTCTAAAATATCTATGTTATTTTTATATTAGAAGAGAAAATGTGTAAGATATAAATATTATAATCAACTCTTACAACTGTATAATTTATTCCTTTTCTTTTCACATTGACATATAGTATTGTGGCACTTAATATTGTGTACACAAAAGGCAGGTCTTCATTTGTTGATTATCTTAAAAACGGTTCGTCGTATGAAAAAAATGATACAGACAAAAAATATTTATTTTTAATTTTCTATCGAGAAATATTAATGTGTTTGACATTTTTTGTATTCACACATAAGCTTTGCACATAAATGTAGACTTCCCCTTTTCCTTAAAAACCACTTTCTTAAATATTTTTAAACAAATCTTTTAGTACCAAAAATGAAAAGGACGTATTTTGATACGTTAATGCACCAATTTTCGTAGAAGTTGAAACTTAGACAGAAAATTCGAGTTTTTTTTAGGATTCCAGCTCAGAATGGGTGCATTTCTAAATATATGTTGATATAAAAAAGATTCTTTATTTTGGTCTGCAAAATACGCCTCTTAATTTTTTCCCATCAATTCCGAGACACTCTGTATATTACATATTATGTATCCCTTTAAAAAATAAGCAATCTTGACCCTGTGTTATTAAGGGCTGATTTGTCAGCAGTAATTTAAACTTAGATTTGAACTCTGCTCTAATAATGTGTGCGCGTTTAAAGAGTTTGAACAAAAATCTAAGTTTAAACTACTGAGAAAAATCGGTTCTAAATGCTCGACTATTAAGTCATCTCCTCACAGATTTACGGCGAAGTGAATCATTCGAGCGAAAATTTTTACTTAATGAAACATTCCCTCCCGTGAAGCCTGCGTCCTTTGCGGTTGCTGAAAAACTATTAGCGCTACCGCGGCGCTTTCCCTTCAAGAAAAAATCGACTCCCTCGGGTTGGTGAAAGAAACCGTGCGCGATCCGATAAGGATACAAAACACCTTGCACGTTCCCCTTGTCGCCAGTACTTAGCGCTTTAAGGATCTCAAGGCTCCTTTGGGCTGCGCCTGCCTCGGGGCAGCACGACGGGGCGTATTCAAAGAATATTCCGAGCGTAATCGGTTCTACACCTGCACGAGCAATTCGCCGCGTCTTTAAGAAGCGGAAAACATTCTGAATTAATTTCAGCTGGTGTGGGGCGACACCTTCCTGCTGGGATGCGGATACTCATTCTACTACGACCCGGCTCGCGGCTACACCAAGAATTACGTATGCAACTACGGGCCGAGGTAAGAACTCGATCTTGGGGGTACACCGGAGGTTCTCCTCCTCCTCCTCTCTCCTTTCCTCTTCCTCTTCTCCACTTCACTACTCCTCTTTCGCCGTTTCATCGGCATTCGGGTATGGAAATGCGAGAGATCCCGAGTCGAAACGGAGTATATCGTCGGGACTAGATTTTTATTCGCGGAAGCGAAATGCCTCTCCCATCCGCGGCGGACTCCTTATAATTCCAGGACAGTTTCCTTTTATGAATACGAATGACGTGCCGCTCCTTACGTATCGAAGATGTAACCGCGCTCTTCCGCGAACGAACACGAGCGCCGGTCTTGCACCGTAAAAACTTTCAATAAAAGGAGGAGAAGTGAAATATTTTCCTGAAAAGTGGGTGGCACACTACGCGGTGGAAATTCTTCAGGTTCGCGACCTTCACCCGCGCGGTGACGTATTAATTCTTATTGATGTGCGATGGATATTTCCGCGCGAGCGCGCGCACAAGATTTTCTTAAAGTGGTTGTCTCGTGAAATAAATTTCTTGGAGATTCTCTCTCGCCGGGAACATAGACTACGTATCGATTGTGAAATACTCGTATTATCTAACTGCTCGCGCAACTGGAAAAAGATTGACCGTTCGGAACTTGAGATATTTGCATAATTTTTAACTTTAATTTGCAAATCATATTAAAATTTTAATAAAAAAAACTACCATGAGAGAGAGAGAGAGAGAGAAATATTAACTCTTTTAGTCATAATGTATCATATGATACACTCTTTTCAGAGCAGTTTTTACGAATTTAAACTAATTTGTAGGGATTTCGAAACGGTAAATGTGAATTCATTGTGAAGCTTAGATTTTCTTCTAACAGAATCATCTGTATAGAACATTAAAGTTTGCAAATTTAATTATTCATAAATAAATTAATGTGAGAAAATAGTTTTTTTTTAATTTATTTGCCAAAAATATTGCAAAATAAACCTATGGAAAAAAATGGTTTGGTTGATACTTTTTGAGCTGTAGATGATGACGCAACTTCAAAAATTTCAAAATGCAAGATGACGAACTCAATATGACGAGCTAAAATTCCAAAAATTGGGATAAGTTATATTTCTTCTCATAAATGAGTAAAGTTGAGTCTGTGAATAATTTGAATTTCAAAAAAGTAAGTTCAAATTTGTGATCAACAACGCCAAAAACCCTCGGATACTGATTTTCGTGGAAATCGAGAATTTTAAAATTGTCGTCCGCCATATTGCATCCGCTATCTTGAATTTTCAAAAACTGACTTCAAATTCATAATTAGCGATCCCAAAAGCCTCCAGATATCGATTCAACAAAGGGAAAGGTTGTGCAAAAAAATTCGTGACTTAAAGAGTTGAAAATTAATATGATATTAAAGATCAATATAAGGTACTGTACACACATATGCAAGTACGGAAAAATAGAAAAAGACAACATTATTTCTAATACAAATAATTTGAAAAAACAAACATGCATCAAAATATATAATTTTTGTATATTTAGGTCCCTAATAGAAATCAACTATCTTACCCGTTTGTACCATAATGAAAAGAAATTGATTCATTAAGATTGTTTAATATAACTGTAATTTTTCTCATATGTTCTGTTAACAAAACTTTAATATGTTTATAATTTTATTATGTATTATATTTTTTACAATAATACTCTTTATAATTATATTTTTTATTAATTATGTTTATAATTTTTTAATTACATATAACAACATATATTCAAAACATCGCATCATATATTAGGACCTTAACTTAGTTTCCGCCCGCAAATGTTAGATGGCAATGCAAACAGTTCTAGTAGTCATTACTAACGAAACAGGTAGTTTGTGATTAATTTCGACATTTCTCGATAACATTCAGTCAGCATACACAATTATTTTCCTAAACAACAATTTCTTTTGCTTTGTG